TTGTCTTCGCGAAGCGCACTTGGTTGTCTGCAGTCGGTACTTGTTGGACTGCCGACTACACAAATTCCGATGATTGTTGAGGCGGATATTGATGGGTTCAAAGACTATTTTTCTATCATTGTGGTCTGTTTGTTAAGTTCCGTTTGGTGGAAGAAACGAGTTTTCTTGAAAGATATACGGTATTTTGGTTATTTTTGTCATTCTACATGGATTACTATACTCTATGATATCAACAGCTGCATTCTAATAAAAATGCAGCATGCTCTATGCGAATAACTGCGGATTTTTATATCAGCAAGATAAAACATCCCTGGAAAATAAACTTAAAACATTTTGTTAATAAAACCCTATGTTATAGTCCAGGAAAAAACAATAGTTTCCAGAGCTTGATTTTACATTCAATTTATAGTACTGATGCGTTCTAATCGCAATTAACTAGAAGCGGAAATGGAACCTGTGGCAGTGGTTATATAAACTGGCGATAACTTTAAATGCAAATTTTGCGAGTTGAGTATCAGTGGAACAACCGTGGATTGCAAATCAGTCGCAGGACTAAACCCCCGGTCCAGAACTCGGATATGATATGCATATGGCTCCAATTAGAACAACCGATTAGGGACCTAAAAAGGAAAAAAGAATAATGAGCTAATCTAGCGACAACGTTAAACCATCGACGACTAAACTGAACTAAATGTTTCTTCAAAAAAGTTTGTCGAGTTTGTTAGTTAGCTAGTTACTTGTTTGAAGAAAAAGGTTGTATTGGATTAACGAAGGATGACTAAACAATTCATTTCAATGAGTTTATTTAAGTCTTCAACAGCCGTTTTATAAGGCTCGGAAATTGTCATGAATGAATTGCTTGTGCAGCACCAGTTTCTCTTAAATTCAGTAAATCGTAAAAGCTTTAAGTGGTTGTTGCTGCTTCACTATAATTAACAAATAGCACCTAATGATCCAATAATCTATAATTCGAGAACAAGCACATAGTGTGCATGGTTGAGTTAATCACCTCAGCCACTCAAGCAGTTCTTCATGAATCTACTTTACACTATCGCTATAGGATAGGATACTTTCTTCGTGTTCGTCACGCACTTTATTTTACACCTTTCGGGCAGCGCAGGCTCTCTCTCGCTCTCGATTTGTGGATACAGGAAACAAAAGCATTGGATTATTAATCTGTAGAATACAAAAAGTGATAGTACTACAATCCACCCGTGAAGGTTGCGATTGTGTAGTGATGATGATATTTTACCCTCCTGTCATTTAACTTTCGACTGTAAGCAAACAAATTACATGAAGCGAGTGGAGTGCAGCTTTTAGGTGCTGCCTGAAGACAGACTGAAAAGAGTGAAGGTTAGCATTCGAACTCAGGTGTTGTGATGACTG